ACCTTGCCCCGGGCCTGTCCGGCTTCGAGCCGACCCCAGGCGGGATTATCTTGACTGTCTCCGTGCCGTGTTAGAGCCAGCTTCGAAGCCAGTCCCGCTTGGAACAGCGGGCAAGGCGCTTGTTCTGTGGTTTGTAAAGATGGACGAGCTGCTGGTCGAACACTGACGTGTCAGCGTCAGCACGGCGTGAAGCTGGCAGGCTGGGCTGGGCTGCTTCTCAGCCGAGTTTGGCGTGGTCTCATAAGGCTCTTTTCGGCCAAAAGCAAACCAGATTTCTCTGTTAGAAAGTATTTTTTAATGTGGTTTGGAGACCCCCAAGAGATTTTGCAGGAACTGGCTTTGGTCTGGCAGAGGCAGTGCCAAATTACAGAGCTAGTAAGCTGCGTAGGACTCCTGCGGGGACATTTTTCTTGGAGAGAGAAACCACTCAAAATGTCCTTTTTTTTTTTTTTTTCTTTTAAGGGCTTTACTGGAGGATATGGCATATGGATCTTGTTCAGTCTGCAGTCCTGTATAGCGTAATGACCCTCATCAGTACCTACCTAGTAGCTTTTGCATATAAGAATGTCAAGTTTGTTCTCAAACACAAGTAAGTTTGGTGGCTATTTGGAGTCGAATTTGTTATTAAATAATTTAACAAAACCAGCGTTTACAACATTTGTTTTAATGAATAAGAATGTCTGGACTGTTACAAGATAATTCCATGTAAAATGGAAGTATTTTGGAGTAATTGGTTTCTGTCATCTTTCTTGTAATTGTGGAATAAACTAGCCTTGTCAGCTAAATGAAACAGAAAAACTGCCTTCATTCTCAGTGGGTATTGCCACAAACTATATTTGACTAATACTTGTAGTAATTTGGTTAGTACTTGTTGTCCCTTCAACTTGGCAAAACCATACAGTGTCTTGGCAAAGTATTGTTCTTCACTGTGTACATACAACTTCCCTGTAACTCCGTATTTTTTTATTTTCATTTTTCAACTTAAATGGTGTTTCCTACAGAGTAGCACAGAAAAGAGAAGACGCTGTTTCCAAAGAAGTTACTCGCAAGCTGTCTGAGGCAGACAACAGGAAGATGTCTCGTAAGGAGAAGGATGAAAGGTAATCCTCCTTGTTCTCTACTTTCTCCCCCTTGTTATAATACTGCCTGGTATCTTTAAGTCTCTAGGGACTGTTCCTTGGCCTTTTTTTTTTCTTTTTTTGCCTGTATTTTGGTAAGTAGAAGCTGTACTGTCAGCTCTTTGTTCATCTATAAAGCCTTTCTGAGGCAAGTTATCAATAAAAGGTCTCAAACATTGAAACCTTTATCAATAAAGTCCTATAAGGCAGCCTCTCTGTCCTTGAGGTGCAAAGCAAAACAACGTGTTGTACAGGCCTTCTAATAAAGCGCTGAAGTACAAGCGTCACAGCTGTCTTCAGAAATAAGAAAAGCTCCTTTTCTTAAGGACAGGCTAGTGCAATGTATTTTGGGTAGCAACATGCGAGTTCCTTCAGCGTAGCATTTCCATATGCTGCTGGACTGCACTGCTAATCACTGGTTGCACGTGTTACCCCTCATGGTTATAACTGGCACGTGTCAGTAGGCAGATTTCCAACTGAATAGCTCGTGCTAATAATCCAGGCTATGCCTGATGAGTGTATCAGGAAGCACTTAGTATTAGAGTAGATGCCTGTTATGTACAAGACGGAAGGGTGTGAACTTGTCGGTTCTTTGGAGCAAAAAGCTGTAGATTCCCTTCTAATTGCCAGGCACACTGGTAGCATCTAACAAACAGATACAAACTCACAAAAAGTGTTATTTATAATGGGCTAGGTTTGATGTGCCTGGTAGGAAAACAAGCGTAAGTCACTTAAGTGTACAAGTGCATGGCATATGCAGGGTTTTGTCCTCAACTAATGAGTTGACTGGTAGTTGTTGCTGCGTTCCGTCTTGTAGAAGCTGGCTATAACAAGAGCAGCAGTGTATGGTTTACTATACCTCTAGGTGTCAATCACTCCATAACGGTGGGTTTAAACATGCCTGAAATAATGTCTCTACTTGTTCCTAGAATTCTGTGGAAGAAAAATGAAGTTGCAGATTATGAAGCCACAACTTTTTCCATCTTCTACAACAATACTCTCTTTCTGGTCTTGGTCATCATTGCTTCATTTTTTGTGCTGAAGAACTTCAACCCCACTGTGTATCCTTTATTACCGGAGTCCTACTCCTATTTGTTGTCATTAGTAGCTATACTTGTCACGGGGGTCATGAGATTATTCTGTTGACATGTGCAGTTCATTGTAGTACCTCAATTTAGAAACACTGTAACATAAAAATAGACATTACCAAAAAAAAAATCTCCCAGTCACCTAGAAGTTTAACATCTGACATGAGATGTTTTAAGGATATCACTTGGACAACAGACAGAATTCTTATGGCTTTGCTGTTTCAGTTGTAATTGTAGAATGAGGAGGCAGCTCATGTTCACCCAGAGACACTCCATCCCTGTTAGTCGCCAGGTGCTCTTACATTACAGGATTGTGTAGTTTTGGTAACATCACAAGTACAATTTTTTGTTACTTAAGTAAATACGTACTGCCAATTGGGGCCGCAAATGTTAATTAAAGAGCTGCGGTATTTAACAATATTTATGACCACTTTTAAGAGAACAGGCTGCACTTTACAGCTGTGTTAATTTTGAAGTTAAGTACATTTCAATGTCCTGCTAACAGCCTTGATTGTGAGCTGTATTTCAGGTTACAATGTTGCGATTTTAAAACTCCTACAGAGAAAGACTGTTTCAATTCCGTGTTTTTCATAAAACTTCTACTAAATGCTCTGTACAGAAGAAGTGGTATCTTTGTAAGTATGCGTCCTTAACCTTTTCCCTGCAGAAACTATATCCTTTCTATAAGTGCTTCATCTGGACTGATTGCTCTGCTATCTACAGGATCCAAGTAGACAAAAAAACCCCACAGCAATTTTCCTGAGAAGGTTCAACTGCCATATAAAAGTTTAAGGGTGGAACAGGAATACTTTTTTTTTTTTTTTTTATAGTATGACTGCTTTAAGGGTATGGGGGGGAGGGTTTGACTCCAAAATAATTGAATTATATTTACTTTTGGTATCTTTACATGGTATTATTCAATAACTGAATTAATTAATTTTTTTTACTTAGCAAGGGAAATGTGTCAGCAGTTACCAAACATAACTTTTCTGAAGCACTGCAAAGGTGTGATGGTACTACAGATTATTAGACAAGTACAGCATAGGGGGCTGCTACCCAGCAGCACAAACAGTTGTATTTAAAACCTGTAGCAGAATTCCTCTGTAAGTTTGGTGACTGGTATAATCAGCCAAATGCGCTGATAATAAAAAGTGACAATCCACCATTTATCATTGTAACTTGAAAAGTTTTAATAAAAAGGAGGCTTTTTTTGTCATTTAATTCCTTGTATTTCCATTCTTAATTTAAAAAAAAAAGGGGGTATTTTTAGGGATAAACAGTGGGTTGTAGGTTTGTCAACTCTTTCTGGTTCTAGAACAGATGAGTCTTCTACAAGTCAGCATATGTATTGTTTTCATGGGAAATACTCCTCATTTTTAAGTAATTTGGAATCAGGAAAAAACATAAACTATGTGTCCTAGAAAAGTACTTTTTAAGTGGTTTGAATGTACTTTTTTTTCCATTCATCTCTAAAGTTGTAAATACAAAAAAACCCCACACCCCGCCTGACAGTTTTCCTGGCACAGCTTAACAAAAACGCTTTAGCTGGCTTCTTATAACGGGTTTAGCAGACAACCCTTTTGCTTTTTTCATGCTATTAGTGAAGCAGCTGTAACTCTACTACTATTAATGGAATCATACTGTAGAAGTTACAGATTTTGCCATTACAGTCTTGGAATCCTAAACAGGGAAGGAAGAGAAAGCTCATAATCAGATTTAATATAACAATTACTTTGCTAATCTTTACTTCAGTAAGATTTATATTTATGTGTATATATATATACACACATGTATATATATTTATACAGTAAAATGAAGATTCTGAAGTGTAGGAGACCGTGTATCTGGCTTGCCTTAGAGTATGCTGAGTTTGTAAAGTCTATTTCTGACAAAGGCAACAAGGACAGTCTCACAAAACTTAGTTCCTAATTACCCAGTGCCTGCTGACTATTACAATACTCTCTTCAGCATCCTTTGGGATTGGGGTTGGATGAGTGGCTTCAATCTCAACTCTCCACTGCATAATTTATTCTTACTTTACTTCCCAGTTTAGGTAATACTCTTCATGTGCTTACATCATGAAAATTTCAGTGGGTTTCGTGCACTTTAGAGCTGCCATTGAAATCGCTTTTCTGGTCAGTCATTTAATGCTTTTAAAATTAACAGGGGGGGGTGGGGGGTGTGTGTGTTCCCCTCAAAGTACATGGATTTTTCTTTATCGCTTTGGCCTGCTTATTCACTACTGAAAGGCGCCTTTCTGCATTGCTTGCATAATTTTACTTTCCTTGGCCTATCACTTACTATGAAGGCTAAAATTCATATGTATTTTAGTTTAAGTAAAACAAATTTCTAACAAGCTTCTATAAAAGGTCAGAATCAAACACGAGGCCAAGTTGACCTCTGTAAGCAATGGGTCTTCAGCATTGCTGTTTTGTTGGTCACTGGTGATGTGCTCAGCTCCTACCAACAGTACACAGTACTTAAATTCAGACACATGAACGGACAATGCAAATACACTCATTTTACTTGTCAGCATTGGTAGGGATAGAACTGACCTAGAGGGCATTTTGGAAAGTGGCAGGCGTATTTTCCAGGAAGTCTGCCATTTAGAGAAAAGTGATTTGAAGCAGCGCTTTCTTCTGCTATTACTGTCAGTTCGCTGAGTCTTTTATTAACAGCTTTTCATCTTACCTGAGGTTTTTTTGGTATTGACAGTTGCTGAGGCCTGGAGCATACATAGTGCATGTCAGAATTTTTCTGGAGAGAGAACTTCGCAGCACTGACAGCCTGAAACAAAAGCGGGTGGGTTGGTTGGGTTGTTTTCTACAGAAAGCCTGGTCTTTTCTGTGGACTTCTTCACAGAAAAGCCTTGAGGGTTGTTTGTTGGGTGTGTGTGTGTGATTATTATTTTTGTTTGCTTTTGAGGTTGGCCAGTTGGTTGTTTTTTCCCTTGCAATGCCCACTACAAGTTGTTTCTTCAGCAGAACACTGAAGGTTAGCCTAAAGCTAGGCTACTGCCTAGCATCCCGTTGCCCTCAGAGCATCAGGCAAGCTGACTTTTAAGCTTTTGCTCTAAGTGAGGGACAATGCCATCTTGTTTTAAATTTAAACAAAAAAAAGTGAATTAATATATTTTTAATACATTGTTGGATTCCCATGTGTCTGAGAAGAAGGGAGAACATTACCTCCAGAGGCAAGAAAAGGAACTAGTCTGCTACTGGGAAAATAATTATGCTGTTAAAATAATAGAGCTGTTAACTATAATGGTCAAAGCCTTAGTGCTGACCATGAAGCAGATTTTAGAATATTTAAATAGTTCAATTTTTCACAACTAGTGCTGCAAAGTAACAGGACATGGCCCAGAGCAGTAGCAATAATACCAGGGAGGTGAGAAGTGCTTCAGCGGTGGTCTCCACCTCAGCCAGCTGTGACCGACCAGCCCAGCGTCATTTTGGAGAGCCTGGTGACTGAACTGCAGTGGGATTGCAGCGAACTATCAGGAGGACGTTCACATTGTGTTTCATTTCAGGCCAAAATGTTATATAGGGCTGATATCTGCCTTAGGAGACTAACTTCTAGCAGTACCTTCTCCAAGACGCGCAGCCAGACCAGACCAGACCAGACCTTCACTCCCCGGCTGTACCCACTCCTCTGGCCCAAGGTCATTGGCCCTTGCCCGACGCAGGTACAGCTGAAAATGAGCGTTTCCCTGTGGAACGATACATACCCACTTTCAATACAAACCATTGCTGTTTCAAAAATCAGCCTCGCTCTTAGTAACAGGTCTCTAAGTATAAAATTAGATGCACAAAATGCTTTTATTGTGTCCAAGCAGAAGTCAAAGTCAGACTGCATTTCTGGATATACAGCAGCTAAGTTCATTTACACATACCATAGCTCATTGGATTAAATACAGGAGAAGACAACTCAAGTATTGGTATCTGTTCACGTGGCCCACTGAAGGCTGTGCACGCGCTGCCGATACCCTGGAGTTAAAGGGACTGGAATACAAGGGTCCTACAAATACTGTACATAGCTGTACCCCTTAGGAAGTATGTGCCCAAAGTACATGATTAAATACGAGTGAGAAATATTTAACCAAAATCATAGGTGCGTTTTTACAAAGCAAACTCATGGTAAAAGATGCCATGGTTCTTGAGGTGGGCAAATTAATACATAAGTGCTTACTATCAACTCCTGTAGAGGGATGAAATGCTCACCAAAAAACCTATCTGTTTCAAGTGTGTCTTAAAAACACTATGCATTTACTTATGCCCGATTCCAGAACAAGTTAAAGCAAATGTGACCTTCCACCAAAGTACGTACCTGATTTTTTCTGGTATTTTTCAGCAGCTATTTATTATATATAAGTACCTATATCCTTAAAAGCTCATGAATATTGAAATTTGCAATAGCTATGTCTACAAGCAGGCAGAAGTAGAGGCAGGTTTCTATAGATACAAACCCCAATATTTTATCATGGATTTCTTGGTTTAAGGTTTATGTAGGATTAGAATTTTGCAAACAGCTGTTGTTTTTGTTAACCTGACATGCATGTTTGGGTTTTCTAGCTATGCTCTTCTGGCTTGTACTCAGAAATACTTCCCAGGAGCACTCCACAGCTGAAATTATTGTATAGTTAGGAGTTGAGCTATCTAATTTCTAACTAATTCTCTGTCTTTTAGCCTTTATTCAACTACAAACGAAATCTAAAGCATATATTCAGCATAAAAAAGAAAATGGAAAATTTGAGCTTGCCCCTTCTATCTGTTAACCTGAAGAAACTTTATAGTTGAGATTTCCCAAATGTGGTTTTATTAAAACCTTAAGTTGTATCTGGCTTTTCTTCATTGAAAAAATAGATCTGTACATCCTTCTTTAATTACCAAGTACCTGAAGGTTATAAATTATTTTTTGCTTTACAAGTGTTTTTTTCACAGCACAAGCATGAGGTGCTAGGAGTAAAGTAAAAATTAATGAATTCAGTTGAAGGTAAGAAAATACAAGATTATTCTTGGTTAGAAGAGAGATCAACTGTGCTTTTAAATTTCACTGCAGATTAGTAGCAACAGCACACATCTCGAAGGATCCAGTGACAGTAGACACCGAGCAGCAAGCTGCTGAATGATTCTCATGACCAGATATTAACTCGGGGCTGTACTTCTGTACAGAGCACTTTTTAAACCATGCAGTCCAGGTAAGTCATGCATCGCATTATGATCTGTAGTCCTTCTTGCTGTAGGGCTTGTTTCCCAGAATATTATCTATTTCGTTTACAATATGGGACGTCATCTTTGGAAGGACCTAGGGGTAGAAGAAAATTGATGTTTAATCAAGCTTCCCTTAAAGGTTTTTCCAAATTTAAATCTACATTTTATCAAATAATGTTTCCTCTGGGTTTTTTTTGTGTGACAGATATTTAAATATTCATCTAACACCTTTCTCCCTTAAGGGAAAAACTACTGTAGTATCTTTACCCTGAGAGACAATCACAGAAGTGCTCCTAAAATTTATAAGCACACTATTACTTGGCTGCAGTGGAAAGTGAGCTGGTGGCAAGAACATCAGAGGAAGCTCTTGTTGTGAAAAGCAACAGACAATAATTAAGGTGGGTGCAAGAAACACGTGCCCCGTGGAAGACTTGGTGCAGAATACATCACAGTGTGTCCTGGAATCAGGTCATTTGCTTTTTCAGACACATTAAACCTGCTGATGCCACCCTCTTGTTGCTGGATACAGCTATAACTACCAGAAATGGCGGTAAGTCATGGCGACGCACCATAGGTCTAATTAATTTGCGTAACTAGAACTGGAAGATGCCTGAAACAAAATACAAAGTATTAAAACTATGTTAAGAGAGAGAGTGCTAGCCTCAAGGTATGCTGATGTTACCCCCAAAGGGAGCTGGGCAGTAGCTAACACCCCACCTCTGTTCAGGTGCCACCTCCACTTGCCTGTATGGCTCCGAGGTTCTCTATCAGCTGCTCCGGGTTAGAAGATCCTAGAAGAACGGAGCTCACCCCCTCATTTCTCAGGCACCATGCTGGGAATAAAGTCACAAGATGGTCATCAAAGATGGCCAGGGACATAGGCTTCACCATACACATTAGCCCAGATCCTAAGGTTTGTCAGAGCTTCTATCTCTATTTGAAAAATAATGACAACATTATTTGTCTCAAACTTCACTTTGCTCCTCCAGTACTACCAGGAAGAAGATGCATGGATCAGATAAGCTACATAGCACATCTTCCAGCATCCCGCTTGACCCTGGTCCCTGGGCCAGCAGTGGTCATAACTGTGGGGTTTGGGTTTTTCTTATCACAAATCACAGGGATTCACCTCTTGGCTATTTGAACCAGGGATCGTTTTTCTAACAAACACTTGTGGTATTTTTCCGCCTTGGCTCTCAGCAGCACAAAGATAATTATTTAAAAAGAAAAATAAACTCTCTTTTTAAAACCCAGCATTCTCCTGTGTCCGTCAGCCCAGCACACCAAACAGCTGATGGCTTCCACCCAGGGAGGGGCCATTCAGAGAAACAGGCATGGGTTGGACCCACATAGGTAGCCCAAGATACACTAGCCCTCTTGTCAATCAAAGCCAGATGATGATGCTGGAAACAATCTTATTTCAAGTAATTTTTAACTTTACTTCTTGGGAAAAAAAAAAAAAAAAAAAAGTTATTTTGTGTGAAGCTAACAGACATGGGGTTACCTCAAGAGCAATACATGGCATTTTAATACCCTGCAGCATGTTTTGTTTTGTTCTTTTACTGTGTTCCTTGAAATGCATTAGCACAATGAACACCTAACGAGGTGTTGCCTTGCCCATCTTCAGTCTTCCTGCTTTTCTGGCATTTGTTCCATAACCCCCCCGATAACAAATAATCATTTGAGTAATAATAAATAGATCTATAGATACAGGCAAAGACAAAGCCATCCTTTGTCCTATTTGAAAGACGGCACATCTTTTTCTGTGTTACCATTTACCTAACCATTGCTGATACAACAAACGATGGCAGCACTAACAGAGCACTTGCAGCTTCAGGGGCTTGTCAAGGTTTCGCCTGCACTCATCTCTCAACAACCCAGAAGGCACAAACATCTTGTCCGCACCTCAGAGCATTGCCCTTCCCACTCCAAGGATGTGAGCTAGGCGATGCGCTTGTGACAACAGCCACGGGCAAAGGTGCAAGGGTGGATGTCTCCCACCCCATCACCTACCGACGGCCAGCTGCGGCAGCGTGCAGCCGAGGCGCTCGGCGATGGGCGACAGGTCTTTCAGCTTCACCTGCTGCTTTCTGCCTTCCTCGCTTATGATTTTCTCTTTCAGCCACTGGTAGCACTGGAGATGAATTACATTGCAATTGACTGTTAGCTTTACTCTTCCACAATGAAAAGTTTGAGGCAATTATTAACAGCTCTTAAAAAGCCTTATCCAACCCAGGAGGGAACTGAGGCTGAATAACACAACGCTTTGCTACCCAAAGCAATTACAACAGGACTGGGATGCCTCCTGTGAGAGCCTACGTCTGTATCTCTCTGGCTTTATTCAACCAATGGACTCAGTCTGGAACCTCCTCAGTTTTATTTTTGTACCACTGGATCCCCATCACAGAGTGGAAAAAAGTGAAATATTAGGCAACTTGAGAAGATTCTGACAGCCCACCCCCCCCAAAAAAAAATTGAAAACATCTGGTCTTGTTCAAACTTCACTATTACTACTGAAGATTAGAAAATTAATTAAGCAAAGCTGAGATTTCAGTTCTCCCAGCTCCAGACTTGAAACTTCATTCTGCTTCACTCTCACCAATTTAATTTGGATCTCTGCAATGCTACCTTCTTAGCTAGCCTTTGCCAAATGTTAATAATATTTTATTTTGGAAGAAAAATCCCAAATGCAATGAAATACCACATTTGAAAATGCTGCCCTTTGTAAGCAAGTCAGTGTAGACTGCATCTTTCCTTTAAAAAGCACCATGCTGAGCAAAAGCCAGCACGGGGACGTACTTCAGTCTGCTGGCACTTGTCAGGCGGCGTTGGCTTTTGCCCATCAGCTGATACGGAGCCTCAAATACCATTTGGGCTGGTTTTTTCCCCAAATCCATGACATTTTAACGCTCTGCCATTTTTCAAACCATTAAATAATATGCCTGCCACAGGCATGATATGGGAGGAGACCCCATAACAGCCAATGAGAGTAAAATCAGGATAATATTGGGAGAAACCAAGCGCTGCGGTGACACCGCAATGCTAGACCTGTTAGAGGGGGCTGCTGCCCTGCCTGGTGAAGGGCAGGACACCGAGGACCCACAAGTTTCACAGGGTGCTGGGGGTCTGCCGCACCTGCAGGGCTCCCCAAAGGGATGCTGTGGGGCTGGGATCCCCTACCACACACTCGTTGCCTAGTAGGCTGGTGCCCAAGGAAAGATGGGCAGAAAAATCACATCCAAGCCTGTTTTACCTACTGCGTGTGGTGGTTAAGAGGTTTTGAAGTCACAGCAGCTGTATCGATTAACATCCACTGGGAGCATCTGTTGTGCTGACTGACATTCATGTATGAATATCATGTAAGAATGATGTACATTCTTATTGACAATGTCCAGGCAATGTAAGGGTGGCGACAGCGTCCTTCTGCAGAGCCGGGCTCTAGTCCTGTGCTGCCCCACAACTAGCCCCCAGCCATCAGCTCACTGTGGTGGGGAACCTGAAGCATCTTTATAACCCAGATTCTCCCGCATTTTGGAGTGTGGTTGCCAGAGAAACCGAGCTGATCTATCAATACAGCAGCATGCAGGCCAGCCTTCTCATGAGGGCTCTTTTCCCTTTGTTATTTTCTTGTCCTCACAAAACCAGCACATCTACTTTTCTCAAACATGCAACAAAAAAAAATACCTTTAGTGCAGCCCTTGAGGTTTCAGGGACCCCGTTGCCGTATTTCCCTGAGATGATCCCACAGGCTAGCGGAGACCATGTCATTGCTCCGACCCCTGCAGAGAAAACAGAGAGGGAGATTTTAGGGGATTGGGAGAAATCAGAGTTGTATAAAAGAGTACAGTGTTCAGTTAAAAAAAAAAATAAAATAAATTGCTGCTTGTTTCTATTGCCACTGTCAGTGATGTTCAGTCAGTGACTTTTAGGAAGATGCTGCTGATGCCATTAAGGAAGACACCAATGATCTTATTCATCCGAAACTTTGCTGTGAGAGCCTCCAGCCCTGGCCTGGCTCCTGCTGCAGCAAAGCACCCAAACTTCTGCTTCTCAGCCCAGGCATCTCCTACACCCGTGCTGCCTTGAGTCTCAAAAAGTAAGCAGCAGCCATGGCAATTAGCACCTAGTTCTATCAGAGGCATGATAAGCCAGTTTTTCTTTTAGGTCATTAGGTAGATACTTGTCTGTCTCCTTCAGATTTGGGGAAGGAGAATGTTGTTCCCCTCTAGAGCCCATGTTCCCATCTGCTCTGTATTTCTGCAAAACTGAAAGGCACAGCAGTCTCAGACTTACCTATTTTATGATATAATTCTGGCAGCTGAACCTCCACTTTCTCTCTTTGGAAAAGGTGGTATTCAGCTTGTTCGCACACAGGTGGTATCATGTTAAACTGCCTGGCTACAGAGTAGGCTTCCTGGAGAAAAGAAATTAGTAGATAAAATACTTCATTATGTAAAAGTATCTTGCGGGTCATAACCTACCAGCCAACGCTCCTCGACTGTACAGATGCCAACGAGCTCAAGTTTCACTATCCCTTAGCAAGGCCACGCACATCCCCATGAACGCCGCCGTGCAGAGGCAGAAACGTGGCCCCATCCCCACCCACGCTGCTTCCCCGCTGCCCCTGCGCCCGCCTTCTGCCTCCTCCAGCCCAAAGCTGCTTCAAGCCAAACAGCTTCCCAGCTGGGATGGTTGGTGCCAAGCTGATTTTGACCCCACTGCAAAAAGCAGGGACCAGCAGGATCCTCCTGGAGCACTCTTACAATCACAGAATGGTTTGGGGTGGAAAGGACCTTTTAAAGGTCATCCAGTCCAACCCCCCTGCAGTGAGCAGGGACATCTTCAATGGGATCAGGTTGCTCAGAACCCCATCCAACCTGACCTTGAACGTGTCCAGGGATTGGGCATCTACCACCTCTCTGGGCAACAACAAATGCTTTTGACAGAGCATTAAGGATGAGTTGTCAGGACAGTGGCTCCCCCAGTCTGGTTTTTTTTGGTTTTGTTTTTGTTTTTTTTTCAAGTAAAGCCTGTTACGAGGTCCCTGTGGCCAAGCACGTGTATTTCCCATCCGCACCTCTGGACATGCCATGTGCAGAGCGGTGCTGCCTGTGGGGGCTTCTCCCTGGCTTGGGGACCGTTCCCACCGCAGCAGCAGCTCTGACAGCCCTGTGGGTCACAGAGCTGCTGCCGGGAGCTGCATCTTGAACGGGGCATAGCGGCCATGGGCACGGACATCGAACAGGCACTTTACCAAAAGTCTTCAGGTCAGTCAAATACAACCAAAATGAAATAAACCCCAATTAAATGAGCCAAGACACTCAAACCCCCAAACTACTAGATCAGTCCATCTTCTCCTAATTAACATTGGACTCATTCTGGAACAAGTTTTAAAATTATTCTGGGTGAAAATATGCTGGATGCAGTAAAACACAAACATCCCCAGCCCAGACACGTTTGTGGTCCAGTTCCCAGCGTGGCTTTTGGCAGACTCTGCAGCCTGGAAGCAGAATTACCAAGTGTCAACGCTTTCCCCAAAATCGACTTTACCATGATCTCCATAGCACTCCAGCGTGATGTTCCCCAGTACATCGCCATGCCTTGATTTATTACATGTGTCATCGCTCGGACAATTTCTAAAGGGGGAGGAAAAAGAAGGATGAGAACTGCACAGAGGCCAATTTTTCAGGAGCAAATCCTCCCAAAGCCACTTATAAATGCCAAGTACGCCGACAAGCCTGAGCAGCTTTGCATTAAACACTTTCTGCTGTGTTCTCTTGCTCGAGCATGGGTGAAAAAGCATTGACAGTGTGAGCGTAAAGAATTTTATCCTGCAGTTGTTTAAAAACTGCTTTTACCAACTGGCTATTACCTACCACCGCCTTATGATAATACTTCCTTTGAAATTTAACACAAGAGGGCAGCACAGCCGAAAAATACACTGAAAATTTAAATTTATTTTAAAATTTGTTTACTAAATGCATATATTAGGCCCTGCTTCTTTTTACTAGGAATATTAGGATGCCAGGGATAAAATGACAAAACTGGATAACTGAACCCTGCTCTGCTGAGGGCCCCACTGGAGGAGCAGGCTGCCCTTCTGCAAGACCCCTTGCAGCTCCTTAGCACAACAGTCCCCATGGTCCTTGTCTTCCTTTGGGAAGATGGAAGCCTGCAAGGCACCAGGCCAAGGTCTTTAATTTCCATCTATCAGGCCTCTGCTGAGCAGCCCTGCCTTCTGTGGGGCAGCAGGGTAGAAAACCCATCATAAAATTTAGTTTGCAAGAAAAGGAGAAAAGAATTGTCCATCCCTCGTGGTTGCCCAGGAGGTTACAGAGCCTAGTAGGATGCCTTGCTAATGCTGTAAGAAAAATAGCCCCCGATTACTGTTTGCAGCTCATTTTTAAGCCTGGTTTCTCCCTGGGAGCAGCCTGCTGGGTACACAGCATTGCAGGGCACCCAGGCAGTTCCCATCACATCGCTGCTGCAGCAGGAGCTGGGGACTGAGAGGGGTCTCCAGGGCAGGGACTGGCAGGGTCTTCAGCCCTGGGGACACAGTCCTCAGGAGAGCATAAATAATTGCCCCAACTGCAGTAATAAATTCATATTTCTTACTGAGCTTCGGCACTCCCTGCCCTTTGGAGCCAAGCAGTGGCTGCCAGGGCACTGGCACTACGCTGGCCGCTAACAGCACATCATTTAAACAGGCAAAAATAAGCGAAACTCACTCTGAGAAGCAAAAGTGAGTAGTACTCAGTCAGCACTCCCAGCGCTGCACAAGGCACCTCACAGTCCGCAGGTGCTGCCACGTCCCAGTGGGTTCTTTCCCTTGGGAAAGCAGCAAGGAACCGATAGCCCACATCTACACCATGGATTTCTGACCCATTGAACTACAGTGAAGTGACTCCCATCGGATGCAGTGCGGCGCGGAGAAGCCCTGGGTGTTTATTGCATCCCTTGGGGTGTCTGCTGTTACTTGGACGATGACTCCGGGGCATCACTGTCTCAAGATCAAGATGAGCTGCCTTTTATATCATGTGGATTCTCATCCTATTTATGGAAAGCAAAAAAAGGAGCTTGGCAGAGGAGAGATTACACTGCCAATCTTGGCGTTATTGTGAGATTTCTTCTGCAGGCAGTGACAAGCAGCTAAAGATGAAGAAGTCTCCATTTATAACCTTGGAGGGCTGTACAAGAGGGACTGTGCCTCTTGCGCTGGGCTTCTGCCTGCCCACTGAAAAGGAAGATTTCCTCTCCAGGGAAACATTGGCTTGAGGAGGTTTTTTCCCCTAATGAAGAGGAGAGTTCAAATGCCAGGTATTGTTTTCTTTTCTTCATTTTAGCCAAAGCCAAACTTCTCTCTATTTCTAAGCATTTTTTTTCTCAGGCATGTACTAATCCAACAAAATGCCCCGTTATCCAGCAGCTACGCTGGCGTGCTGTGTGCGACAGGCAGCTGTGCAGCAATCCCTCCCTCCTCGGCAGGGCCAGCTTCTCACTGGGTTTAGTTTTCTATTTTTGCCACGCTACCATTTAGGAATTTTGATAAGAATTTCATCATATGCCTCTTACACATTGCTGTCCATAGTTGTTTTCATTTCTCCCACATCTACTCCTTTCAAGAAAAACTGATGTCAACTCAGAGAAAGAAAAAAAACGAACAACCAAATATAAATATATATATATACACACTCTCATTTACCAGAGACTGCTCCCATGGGTACGGTGATGGGATGGCTTGTGGAGAGCACGTGCCTGGACTGCTCAGTCTACCAGCTGGATGGCAGAAATTGCATCACTTAAGAAGGGGAGATCTTTTTCCAACATAAACCAATGTTTCAAAATCTGGAAAACAGCCTCCAGCAGCATAATAATAATTTTGAAGTAGCTTGAAGTTTCATGATAGGAACCACGTCGCCTTCCCCACCTGCTTGCCGGGGCTGGCCACACAGCGGGTGCCCAGTCCCCTGGCACAGTGACAATGGGGGGGGTCTCACCAGGGGACCCTCTCCCCGCAGCCAGAGCTGCCCTGCTCGTCTGCTGGAAAAGCCACTTGGGATGAAGAAAAGCATCTGCTAGCACAGTTGGGGGGATCAGATCTCCAGCCTGACTAACGAGGCATGAAACTCACAGAAATTCAGGAGAGAAGCACAGATCCTTCCCATCACCCATGCCCCGAGGTCCCCGTTCGGGGGGACCGTGCGACAGCAGAGCTGCCCGGGGGCAGGATCGCCTGCACACGGCGGAGCTGAGACTGGGTCGGGGCAAGGAGGGACACGGCTGTCCTGGCCAGGGACCTGGCTGCAGGGTTATGCAAAGAGCTTTGTGCAGGGCACTCATCTCCAGATGTTCCTTGAAGCTAATATTGCATTGCTTTTATGATGAAAAGCTTTTTTAATTTGCTCTGTGACTTTCAAGAAAGGTAAATACGTTTCAGATCTTTAGATTAAGTGAGCTTTGCCTGCTGCTTTGGGGACCGGAGTCACCTACAATAAAGAAATCTGTATTAAACTCTCATCTCTTCTTATTAGATCTCCTTTACCCACGCCTCCTAAGGCAGCCTGAGCTGGGCTGCAACCAGCCTGGGGGAGTGGGAAGCAAGTCTGCTCTGGCTGGGGTGGACCAGATGAGTATTTCTAAATTGCTGACCCATTGCTGCTGGTGCTCACAGACACACACATCACAGCAGCCGGAGGACCCTGAGCGCTAACGGCAAAACCTCACCTGCCTGCATGCAGCAAGCGAAGAAAACAAAATGAACATTCAAACTTTATCTTTTTAGCTATTTGGTTGTACCTTACAGCATACAGCCACACTGTTTGCTCAAGCAGGACCCTCACATGTTGGCATGAGTGGCACGAGCAGGGAACGTTTTAAGGTTACCTACAAATCGCTCTCCATCAGAAGCGGCTATTTGCTCGTGGGAAAAGCACAGGCACGTAAGGCATAAGGATTGTACGTCTTGTGGAGGTAGCTCAGCACTTATTGTGCATGCCAGATAGCGCAGAACCGACAGATGGTTCAACAGATGCTCTGGGATAGAAGTGGCTTAGTAGGTGAACCATAAAAAAAGCATGAAGTACATAGAAAGAATCAACACCACACCATTCATAATAAAAATGTCCCTTTTTTCACCCCGCTCAAAATCTCACCAAGCACCACAGTTTATATCTTATTGCCAAGCTCCAGCATTGCTAACAGTATCTGTGGCATCTTAAAAGCTGTAAACATCTGAGATCAGCTGCGCTGCGCGGGCATGGGAAATATATTTTGTACTGCCTCATTAGCTGACAATTGACTGAGCAGAGAGGTCATTTCTCCCTCCAAGACACAACATGTCACGTTTCTTGGCCTCATCCGCTACTACAAAATCTGGACTGGTCTTAAAGTCCCAGGCCAGTTCCCTGAACCCACAGCTGCTGGCACTGGTCGGCCGCGGCAGCAGCACTGCGATCCACCCACGGTTCACACTGGGTTGCCCAGCCCCACACTCGTTAAGAAAATGGGCATCACGACTGCTGAAAGTCAAGCCAGGAGTTTCAGGAGGGGCCTGTCAAGCTCCAGGTTTATTTGATTTACATGTACACATCCATGACAGCTTCTGCAGCCTGCAAGTCTTTCTCCTTGCTATTTTTTATTTAGCTGTGAAGTTAATCTTCTGCTACAGTGTGAATGGTGGTGTTAACTCCAATGGGAAAAGAGAAGGAATGGGAACTCGTGCCCATTAAATAGGCCACTGACCCCAAAACTTAATGATGAAGGTTCCTGGATAACTGGGCTCTATGGCCATGTACCAAACATGAATATATAGCTGTCAGCAATGAAACAATTAAAGCGCACAGATGTTCACAGGTCTTGCAAGTTCCTAAATTCGTTCCCCCCTTACTGCTTTTAGCAAGGACCATTCCCCACCAGGACCGAGGGGTGGGCGGCTGCGGCACCGAGGCTGAGCCCACCAGAGACACTACATCTCAGCTTGTGCTGCTCGTGCACTTGGAGCAACAAACCCTAAGCTTGCCAGTTATTTCTTGTTTCTGACCATGTATTGGATCACCCCCCCCTGGTTTTAGCACTGGGAGAAGGATGTGCTATCCGGGCAGCCCAGGGGACATGGACAAGGATGGGGACAGCAACGCTGGCACGCTCCCCTCTCCAGAGCTGACTGCACCAGGTGTAGGGATATCCAGGTTTCATTTGATAAAGAGACCTGCCTTAAATGCAAACATAAATTCACTTTATCTGAAAGAATCCAGGAAAGGAAATAAAGAAACAACATTAAAGCCACCACCGGGACATAAAGAAAACTTCAATTTCCTTTTAAGAGATAGAAAATCATTTCATTGAAGTGTAAATATATAGGGCTCCAGAATATCATGAATGAGGTATTTCATATTTAAGCTGCCCCACCTGAATATCTAATGAAAAAATGTTTTTCATTTCCTACCATCATCGATCTAAGCCTGTAAGCCAGGTTTAGTCACGTTAAAATCTTTAATTCAAGCGTCCACTAACCTTCCATGGGCGTATTATTGTCTGGCCGGTTTGCAAAGACGACATCCACGTACTCCAGCTGCAGCCTCTGCAGAGAAGCCTTTAGCCCTGGAAACAGCAAAGCAGAGACAAGAACTTGCACGGTCAGAGAGAGGCAGGAGTGCAGCAGTGCAGAGCTATTAGGAAAACTATTAGGAAAACCAGAGCTCCCCATATTTATATACACATCTACCATATATGTATATACACACACACACAACACCATATAGCGTATGAGAAGGATGCTGCCTAGTGTTGTCCCACACCTATGCAGTCATATTAAGAAGAAAACCAGTTTGGCTGCATGCACAGTTCCCCCCCTTCCACAAGAATTTGTTTTATTTTTTAATTAGGCTGAGATTTGGATTGGAACAGACACTGGTTACCAAGCATGTCCATGGCCAGGCCATCAGGAGGCAGCTGCCAGGGACCAACTTCAGCGCTTTGCTTCTGCTCAGACTTAATTTAATCTAAATCACATCACAGAGCCTTTCTGTGCAAGCTCAGAGCGCACAGTGTTGGTCCTGTCCTGCCTAACAAAACCCTACCCCAGGGGGGGCTTCCAGAAACACAGGCCTGGGTGGGAGGATGGTGGCACTTGGTCAGATATGTTGTGACGGGCAGATAAAGCACCACGGGGGGCTTTACCCCCTCTGCAGGATAGGCAAGCTGTGCCCACCAGCGCATCACATAGCAAGACAAAACACCAGTTTGCAGCTGCTGTTCAGGACTGCCCAGGCTTCAACAGCTTCTCCATAAGGATCTGATGGGAAATGGCATCAAAAGCCTACATATATATGTGTGAGAGAGAGAGACAGAGAGAGAGAAAGAAGAGGATTTCTAACACTTATTTTCTATGCCTCTTCCCAGGAACAAAATGTTTTTATGAATGTTCATGAAGAATGAGCCAAAAGAGAGCAGTCTGAAAGTGTTCTCTGAATTTCAGGATGAAAAAAATGGCCATTTTTGCCAAATGTGCTTCTAGAAAATAGCTAACATTGACCTTAACATTATTTGCTATGTTTTCTGTGAAGTTATTTTAACTGCTGCCAGTATTTTTCTATCATTTCGTGCAGTAGCTCCAGAAGAAATGGCACATGGATGGGTTTAGACTGCCCGTGACATGGCTGCAAGGTCCCCAAGCGCCTCATGGGGGGGTTATTCAAATGAAAGTTCAATCAAATGTTGCTAAAAAACTTTTTCCAGCATTACCTTATCATGAAAGTCATATCCTAATGTAGCTGAATCCCACAAATACTAAATAATGAGAATTCTCCAGGACACTCCCAGACATATGAGCTGGTTACTATGAGGCAAAACCGACCGTGCTCCAGTGATGCTCCTTATCACCGAGAAATAGCTCCTTTGAGATGGAGGGTGACCAAATCTGCACTGCCGGGAGGAGGCTGCTCTGCTCACCCAGTTTGCTGATGGCCACGTTCATTCCACCTCACCCGCTTGGGACAGCATTAGCCAGGCTGCAGTGCGGGTAGCATTGACATCCCAGGTGAGGGGTACATTATGTAAATATAGTAATAATATTATCCATATAATTTATGTTATAAATGTATACAGAACAAACCCTGGTTGCTGAAAGTTGTGACAAATGGGCCATTGCAGATTCTGGTGCTAAAACATGCAGATGGCCAAATGCAAGTTAAACCTGCCGTTCCTGGCAGGCAAACCTGATTTTTTGCATACAGATGCTACCTTCTGATAAGCAAAGATCAAAGCATACCTCCCGCCCGTCCTGTGGCGTAAACTGCGAACAGGCTGGTCCCCCCTGCACCATCAAACTACCGACACCACCACACTCTAGTAATATAGATGAGCCCGAATTTTTCTTTTCTAATTTGCCTTGGCAGCAAGCATTAGCTTAACCAACCACCGCTGTAAACAATTAGGGCTTATCTCATAAATCAAAGAGGAGGCTAATTACCCCAGCACACATAGTGCAATAAAGAGAATCACTTTTCATCGCTGTGGCGTGTTGGTTTATGGAGGGTGCTGCTCCCCTGGGGCTTCAGCCCTGGATTCCCTAAGCCAGCATCGGCATCGGCCAGCAAGGAACAGCCGCTCCCCCCGGGGGGTTTTGTGCGCCCCGCTGCCCTGGGCTCCCCTGAGGACTTTGGCACAGAGCATATAATTTCCTAGTAACTCAGGGAACACATTTTGCACGTCCCTCGGTGGCAGCAGACAGAAGTGGGTCAAACAGCAACAAGAGGCGGGCGGTGCGAATCCCTCTGCAGAGACCTGAAGCACAGGTACCAAGCCTGATGCTCCCTTTCTGTCCCAGAGGCTTCCTGGCCCCCCGAGGAGCTGGACACCCCCAACAGCCCCCCTCCACAGCTTTACACAGCTTTTCTCCAAAGCCATGCTATTTTTACTCAGGATTTATGTAGAAGACAGGCCCAGGCCCCCGGGCTGCTGGCTGCTTTTCTAGGTCTGGGACCTGCTTCCAATCTGCTCAGCAGGGGGCTGTCAGCCCCAGGGTCCTCCTGGGGGTTTTTGGGGTCTGCTCCAGCCCCTGTCGGGAGCCAGCCTAGGCAGGGACCTCTCACTGGGACAAGGTCATGGCTGACACTGCTGATTCTTAATGTGACATAAATGTGTCTTTTTATGGGTGCTGCTCTATTTGTGTCCTGCATGAAGAGTCCTGTACAAGTTACGTTTATGCCTGAGTGTCTGACCCGACACCCAGCAGCCCTCTGAGAAGAGCCAGATCCAGGGAAATACACTTGTCCGTATAGCAAAAACTATGTGCTCTCACTCCCATGTATCTGAGAGAACAAAAAAGCAATTGGAAGGAAGACGAGGAGCATGCGTTAGACGCAGCAAAGACGTGGGTGAATAAATCCCGATGGATGAGTAAGGTTGGGCATAAGGCAACAGCATCAGTCGGTGTGATGAGGGACCAGATGCAAGGAGATGGGTGTGGGGACATAGACAAAAATTGAGCACTGGAGAAGCAGCAGCACTGAGAGCAAGCCACAGCCTTTCCCAGCCGGCTGCACAGCGGATGGGACCTGGCACCCCTCCAGAGGCTATTTCTGCCAGCTGACATCATGCCCCACATCCTCATCCCTCCTTGCTCCACCAAGGGAGCCCACGCTGCCACCAAATGCCCCAGCCCCCCTGGGAAGGAGCCTGGGGTGCCAGCAGAGCAGCTCCAGACCCACCGAGCCTTCCTGCCTCCTGTCATCTCACAGCAGTTGGGACTGGGGCCGTCCTTGAGGACGATGATGCAAAGCTACCTGAAACGTGAGTGTTGAAACCCCGGCGTGGCAAACACCGATCGCCGCAGATAAGCAATAAATCTGCAAGTGACACACACGTAGCCAGCCAAGGACAACATGCTTGCTTATTATAGCAAAAAACCAAAGGTTATTGCTGCACAGAGGTGCAGTAGAGGCTTTGTGTGTGCAAGGCGTTTGCCTGCACTTTTTGAGAAAAGTCAGAAAACCTTTTAGTGCTTTTTGGGCCCTTCACAGCCACGTCTGGGAACCACCCCATGCAGGGCTGGTGCGGAAGAGCAGTGAGTGCCAGCATCAAGCAGACCTGGCTCATGGGAGAGCATTTGCCCATGCCAGGGCACTCAGGCACAGAAGGACCCCTGCCCCATGCAACACATACCTTCAATGATGTGTTTTCTTGAAAGCCCTCTTTCTGTTTCAGCTCTGCAATAGGAAAAACAGGCACATGGCCGTGAGATCTGAGGTGCTAACAATTGGGGAGTCAAAAAACCAAAGGTTATTGCTGCACAGAGGTGCAGTAGAGGCTTTGTGTGTGCAAGGCGTTTGCCTGCACTTTTTGAGAAAAGTCAGAAAACCTTTTAGTGCTTTTTGGGCCCTTCACAGCCACGTCTGGGAACCACCCCATGCAGGGCTGGTGCGGAAGAGCAGTGAGTGCCAGCATCAAGCAGACCTGGCTCATGGGAGAGCATTTGCCCATGCCAGGGCACTCAGGCACAGAAGGACCCCTGCCCCATGCAACACATACCTTCAATGATGTGTTTTCTTGAAAGCCCTCTTTCTGTTTCAGCTCTGCAATAGGAAAAACAGGCACATGGCCGTGAGATCTGAGGTGCTAACAATTGGGGAGTGCTAATTTTGTATTCTGGTTTAAACATCCCAAAAATAAAGTTAGAGCTTACAAAACAGAGACCCTGAACCTCATTTGGGTTCCCAGTCTCAAAGGTAACAGCAGCTGGGATGTGTAATACCACTGTTAAATTAACACAGTAACAGCCCTGCTATGGGCATTGCCTGACTGCAAAGCTACTGTCTGCCATTCCTAAGCGGAGGGGTAAAGATGCTTAGGGCAGCAAGGCCAGGCAGCGCAGGGATGGGGCTGTGCCCTGGCCAACCGCCCAGCACTGAGGCTTCATTGACATCGTCTGCAATTTTGGAACTGGTTATGCCCCCCAGAGCTGCAGCCCTGCTTGGGGTGGGAGCGCACCAGGCACGGCACCCCAGCCTCTGCTGGGGGCTGCCACCTCTGCCAAGCTCCAACTCCTTAAAAGACTTGGCAAGATGAGGAGAAAGAAAATGACAGCAACAAACCACCCCTCCTAGGTGCTGTTAATCTCTACCTGCTTACGGCTGTGAAAGGGAAAAGCATGCAGAGGCAAACACCATTACGAGTAAATGTGAGACTTACTTTCCACCCCAGTACAGTTTTGTTGTTATAACCAGACTGGACCTCCTGCAAATACAACAGAAAAATTATTATTGTTAAAAAAAATTATAAGGTAAGTAACCAAGCAGGGTGCTGCCCATCGACAGCGGCAGTACTCTGGTTTCAAGCAGTGGCTGCCGTGCCTGGTTTCGCAGCCCTGGGCTCACACATCATGATCATTCTTTTTACAGCAAACCACTTCTCCCATGCTCAGGTCCACTGCAGGCAGGCAGTGACCACAGGCTGGTGCCCAAAAACCTAAGCTGATTTGAGTGAAGTGAACAAAAATAAAGATACATTTTTTAATTGTGAAGTAAGCGATCTCCAGAGCCCTTAACCAAGGGCTACAGTGCTATTCGCTCCTGGTATCCAAGTCCAGTGCTTCTCATTAACATGCAGTATTCCCAGAGCTACTAAAACTCCAAGAGTGATACATTCACTGAATTAATCTATAAATTCCCATGTGATATTAAATCAAAGATTTATCCTTCGCAAACTACCTTGCTGCATAACTGTACATGTGTAACAGAAAATTTCTCCAGCTTTTGTTAGATTGTTTTTTTTTTTTCTTCCCCAGTACCCAGAAAATTTCTCACTGAGTTATCATCCCCCTAACACAGGGGATACTGATTTTAGAGAAAGCACCGCCAGGACCCACTCTTCAGTTGAAGGCTGAATATGACACACACAGGAGGTCTTTAAAGATTATGTAAATACTCTTAAAACTACACAACTTATGCTAATGTGCATCATTTAAATTAGGTATCATCTCCTACTAGGCTACCCAAGATGAAGGCCCAGCACAGCTTTGCATTCTTAATGCACAGCCTTATGTATACAGATAAGGATGCCGGCACATGAATAATCTGTCTCCGTACACCGTGCAGGGAAGAGATGATGGATACGCTCAGAAGTTGCGTTAACCGTGCTCTGCACAGAGACGATGGTCTCATGCAAGAGTCGGGGCAGCACCGCAGGCTGATGATGGCAGCCTCATGAAGCCAGCATGCACTCCCCAAAAAACAGGAGGGCATTTTTATTTGGTGCTTGAAATGTCTGGCTGCTGCAGGAACCCCGGCTGGCTGCTCTGTGCACAGCCCCCGCACCCACAAGCTCCCGCTCCTGGGCCAGCAGCGCCTAACATGCATCATTTTTAAAAAGCAGAAGGATTCGCATATGCCCAGGGGTCCAACTGCTTTGCAGGCCACCAGGAGTGTCATCTGGTAGTACAGTACCTCCAGCCCTTCTTCTTCAGGATGTTTCCCAGGATGACTTCAGCCCTGCACAAGAGAGAGAACCCCAGGTGAGGGGAGACAGGAGGATGCTGAGTGCCAGGTACACCACCGCGGCTGCCAGCTACCCCGACTCCCCTGGACAATGCCACCTGGACACCAGCCTGCAGTGCTGCTCTTGCTGTGCGGCTCTCCCATCCACGGGGGATGGTGACCCAGCACCAGCTGGGATGGGTCCCCTCCATTGGTACAAAACACCTTGCCCACCCACTCCCCCCAGGGATAGACCTGCACCATCCGTGCCCTACATCGGCTTGAACCTGCTCTGGGAAGGCAGAGCCACTTCATCCCCACACCAGGGATGTGATGTCCCAATCCACCTTTTACACTTAATACGAAGCTGTATAAATCAGCTAAAGAAAAATGTATTATGGATGGATGGGGTTTTTTACTTTCCCCAATCCCACAGCAACACTAACAGCATTAGCTCTGTTGCAGCCAGAGCAGTTCCCCACGCCGGGAGCTGCGCTTGGGAGCTGTCACTGGCACAGGCCATTCATCACCATTAAGATGCGCACTGACTTCATTTATTCAGGACATTTTTCTCCCTGTGCCAACAGCAAGTGGCACAAGTGATAGATTTCAGGCTCCAGCTGAGTGCAAGGGGGGTTGATTTTGTTTAAAAAAAAAAAAAAAAAAAAAAAAAAAAGCTCCAAAAATAAAGGTTTTTTCTGTGGCCCCTCAGGGAGAAGAGGGATTCCCAAACACCACCAGAGCCCTATCCATCATGACTGCCTGTGACACAAGGAGGAGCAGAGCCATACGGAGGGGCCCCAGAAAAGCGGAGCGGGATGCTGGGCACTCACTTGCCGGCCGCGTACACCTCGGCTGTGTCAAACAGGTTGACGCCGCTCTCGTAGGCAATGGTCATCAGCTGCTCAGCCACCTTGGGGAAGCAGAGACAGAGAGGTGAGGGGTGGCAGACCGAATCCCCAGCGGCCAGCAGCTCCTCCGGCAGGGAAAAGCCCCTGAAGGTGCAGCAAACGGGCTTCAGTGGGGCTGGGAGGGGTGTAAGCATCCCCTGCCAGGGGGCGAGATGCTTCGGCAGGGCATCCAGGGGCTCATGTGCTGGCCCAAGCTGCACCAAAACACAGATTTATATTAACTTCCCTTTAACTCATCCTGGGAGGAATTAATCTCTTCTCATAGGGAAGTTCTGGGCTTTCTAATAGGAAAGCAGCCAAGAATTTAACAGGGTTATAGAAGATACTCTGCAAATCTGTGCTGCCTAATACAGAAAGGATATTTCCATGGGAAGAGTTTGATTTTTTTCTTTTTGGCTACCCAACGGGCTGTCCTGCAGTTCACCAGGTATTTAAAGAGCTGAAGGTCATTTCATGTGATCCCCATCAGAGCCCCAGGAGTCCTGCTGCTGCCTGGGGGGGATTCTGCACCCTGAGGGGGCTATCAGCTCTGGGGTGACGGGCACCCCGCCAGGGCACCCTTGCATGGCCAACATCCTTTGGGTAGGCATCCCCCACGGACAGTGAGGTGTTTAAGTGCTCTTTTTCCATGCATGGACACTTTGCATTGATTTATTCTAAACAAGGAGGTCAGGAGAGCCAGGGAGCAAATTCATAGCTGAAATAAGTCATCTCGCTTCAGCCTGCAACACTAAGAACCAAGGATGAACTCTGTGATCCGCTGGCAGCAGAAGAAACATCACCAAAGAACAAGTGACTTAAAAAGCAAAAAAAACCCCATTGAAGTCAGACTCCTGGGACATTTTCCTGCTGCAAAAGTTATTTTGGGGTTTCTGCCACAGTACTAGAGGGAAGGCTGCCGGGAGGTTGCTCTCCTTTTGGTGGCTAGCATCTGCAGCGTACCTGAGACGGAGGGAAACCCATGTGCTGCCCAGCGCTCGGGAGGATTATTAACCAAGATTAAGAGCCATCTGGTACGAGCAAAAGTGCGTAGGAAACCCAAGCTCATTTTCATTTGTTTCATCTTATTATGTAAAATATAAATCATCCGGCAGCTCCTTGTAAGCCGGGCCCCTGCCTGTATTTATGACTGTTGCTGATTACATACATGATGCAAAAATAGTTTCCAGTTTCTGCTCCAGGAACAGTGCCACTGCCAAGGGTAGGGACAGAAATATCGCTCCAAACAGCGCAGAAAAGAAGATCACTTTAAGGGATAGATGGTTTTTTTATTAAAGTCAATCTCTGGAAATGTCAGATTCATTAAGGTTTTTTTTGTAGCAGAAGCACAAACTTTGAATTGCTTTGCGTAGTAACTCTGCCATTTCCTCGTACAGTAACAGGCTCCTCTGATTTTGGTAGCCATGGTTTCATTTAAAAATATCTCATATTGGTTTTTACATCACGCATTATACTTACACCAAGCATTACTTACCTCGTCTGAGATTTGGCCTCCAAAAGTGACCCATGTCCCTAGAAAAAAACAAAATAATCTGTTACTATGAGACATTTTTGCTGACAAAAATTCACTCTACCAAAATTCAGGCTCCTTGGGCTCAGAGGCTGCTGCGTTCCCGAGCAAGCAGGACCAGGGCAGGTGCTGGAGCGCCCTCTCCCTGGGGGGACAGCAGGGGCGGGCGTGCAGACCTGAGACTGGCACACAAACCCACTCAGGGAAGCAGAAGTAAGATCCTGTGCTACCAAAATACATGGTTTTATTGAAACCTGAAGCTCTTTGCAAAACTGAGTTCATTTTCCAAAGCCACCATTGGACAAATTGGAAAAAATTTATGATGCTGCCAAAACATGTCATTTGGGGAACAAAACCCTTCCTAAGTTTGTGCTTCAGCTTTTAGCATCATACAGGTCAAACTTAGAAAAAAAAAAATTAGAAGTATTAGTACTGACACGAAGTTTAGGCTCAGCAGATGACTCTGAGCTATTATTAGGAAAAACTTGGGGCATTATTTCTTTATGACCACTGCTTCAAGAAAAAAAAATATCCTGTGGTGGAAACAGTGTGTGGATTTAACTGGATATTCCTCTGGTTTCAGAATATTATTTCCTATCTATATTTTGTATGTATGTATATTAGGAATACATATTTCCTAAGCTACTGGAACAAAGAGGTGGCAGTGAGCTGGGGAAGCACCAGGTCCCATACAGGGCACTGGTCAGGCAACAAATCCTCACCCTGGCAGGCGTCACTCCTGCCCTGCTTATCTGACCTTACAAAACACCCCATGGAAAGCGATGCAGAAGAGGAGGCTGTGCCATTACTTTTGCCTTTTGCCAGCTTGCCACGATGTCCCTTTGATCTACAGCACAACTTTTCCCCACGCTTTGAGACCTACACACCAGCTACATATGAAATCACATGTTACTCATCTGATGGATGGGTCAAAGCTCACATAGCCCACACAAAATGCTCCAGAATGTAAAATTATGCCTAATATTGTCCCTCCATAAGGGGCGCAGGGGAGTTGAAGCCCTCAGATGGAAAATTCAGTGCGATTTGGGCAAGATGGAGGAACGATTGCTGTGCAAGGGAAGGGTCAGGATCCGATGCTGCTAAGGGGGAGGGAAATTCAGTGCTCCCTATCTGCCTGCTCGCACTTGCCAAGGGCCTGGTGTGATAGATACGCAAGCGCTCCCACATCTTCATTAAAAATGTATCGGTTAGCTCATTGCTCACAGCGAGCGTGGAAGATGAACCTTGAGCAGGAGTCAGAAAGCAAAGAGTGTGCCTACTGCTAACGCTCCAGCTGCTTTGATCTGACCCTGGTTAAAAACAAAATGAGAAGAGTAGGTTCCGTTAGAAGGATCTTGCTC